CCCCCCCCCCCTAAGTCCCAGTCCCAAGTAATTACTCTAAATAACATTAACTTTTATCAAGCTCAGGATTGATTCAAAGGGAAAAAAAATTTGAATCTCAGTGACTCCGATTCACTAGTGATTAGTGACTACCCAACCCAATCGACTAAATCTTGACTATTCACTTGGCCCATTAGAGTAGACTCCACTAAATAACGACACGACCAGCCAACAGTTCCCTATCAATTAATAACAATAAATCAAATTCATCAGCGACTCCAGTTCAGTTTTAACCCATTCGTAAAAGATTAGAGAAGAGGGGTCCCTCTTCCAAATTCTATATGGATAGTCTGGAACTTTGGTTACCCACAGGTACAGCGTCTCCCTACACCCTACACGTTATAGAAAATAGAATTACAGAAAAAGAAAAGGGCCTACTCCTATCAATATTCCTATGCTCCTATCAAGCCAAAGTGGCTACACGCAGCAGAGGTTGGGTACATACATGAGGGAGTTAAGAGGGGATTTAAGTCTTGAATCTTGATTTTTTTTTCTTTAGGTAATCAAAGTCATTCTTTTCACGAACATTTTTATGCAGGTAAATATATTTAAACGGTGTGGAGTTCTAACATTTCTTTTGTTAAGAAGTGTTTTCCTCTGTTACGACCTTATTCTTGAGTTTTGTGTTCCAACAGTGTTGTAATACTTGCCAAGAGAAGTGACCCAACTATTTATGCAAGGGAAAATGCATTTTTCGTGGCCTATGCGCATAGATAAAGCCCCCCACCCCACCCCACCCAACTCCCAACAAAAGGACATGAAAACTGCACATTCAAACTTTCACTATCGCTCTAGGTTTGGATTGGATCATACTTCAAGAATCAACTTCTCGAATCTCCTGAAAGCAAAACCATGCCATCACTCTTGGGAGCAAGGCATCCACCGATAAATCAGAAAACAGGGCGCTGGCCCAGTTTTTGTTTTCAGGAAATCTCGTTACTACAAATTACTTCCCAGTTCCGGATCAGAAAGACCCCACTCCAATGTCTGAAGTCCAAACATGTTACTACATCACATCAGGAAAACCTCTTTAGCACACTAGATTTCAGATAGACAGATACAGGTAGCGTTTTTTTGGGAGAAATTTAAAAGCCAGTCGGGGAGAGAAAGATCCAGAAACAAACATAGAACTCTCACCAAAAAAACAAATAAACATAGAACCACCTCAGCCCTCATAATAAATCCTGTGATAGAATGACGAGTTAATTAAGGATTCGATCCCGAGCATAAATATAACCAGGAATCTTCATTAGTTCAAATCTTCGAAATAAAGTTTATCATAAGTTTGATACATATTTTACACTAGCAGCCTACCAGATACATAAAGTATTACCAAGTCACTGAGTCACTAATGTGTTTCAATTCGATCCCGAGCATAAACATAACCAGGAATGCTTCATTAGTTCAAATCTTAGAAATCAAGNAGTCACTGAGTCACTAATGTGTTTCAATTCGATCCCGAGCATAAACATAACCAGGAATGCTTCATTAGTTCAAATCTTAGAAATCAAGTTTATCATAAGTTTGATACATATTTTACACTAGCAGCCTATCATAAGTTTGATACATATTTTACACTAGCAGACTACCAGATGCATCAAGTATTACCGAGTCACTGAGTCACTAATGTGTTTCAAGTATCAAGTAAAAGCTACCAAATTTTGAAGCTCTTACGCCTCTGCAACCAGATACATATAATAGCATACATTAGGCTCAGTTTGGAAAGGGTACAAATACATATATATATATATATATATGTACAGTGTAAATACAAGGATTAACAATAAAAATAATACAAAAGACAAGGATTTGCACTCCACAATTGTATTAATACTTTTTCCAAACTGAACCTTGAAAGGAGTACAAATACAAATATCTTATATATATATATATATACACTACAAATACATAATACATAATAAAATTATAAAAGGTTTTGCACTCTACATATTTGTATTTGTACTCCTTCCAAATGTAGCACAATCAATCAAAATTATATCTGTACTATTTGTACTCCTTCCAAACAACATTAAAGGTCATTACCCAACCAATGCCTGTCCACCAGCAATTTGGGGTCTTGTAACGGCTACACTAATTATAGAAAAAACAAAGAACAAGGCTCTCCTAAACATAATCAACGAGTCAATGACTGCCTAAAGCCAGCTACAAGGATCAACCAATACATTGACTAGATCCCATGATAGCCAATAGCTTGCAAAAGAGCACGGCATACAGACGCAGGTCAAGGAAAGAACGACTCAAATCATCAACCACAGATAACACATAGTTGATGCCAAAAAGAATCATTCGAGGATCCGGTTCTGACCGAGATTTCAATATGCAGCAAACCATCTGCCTTTATGCATAATCTTTGCACAAAAACTAGGAAAAGGGATCGATCTTATCAAATTATATTTTGAATGGTTGAGAACTGAGCCAAATTCTATGAAATCACCTTGAACTCAAGCAACTTAGTAACTAACAAGGTTCAAGGTGTATACATATATATACACTTTGTTTTAATTTTTATATTGAAATTTAAAGATCAAGAGGTTTTGAGGAGAGAAAAAGAAAGAAAAGAATTATAAAAGGTACAGTTTTTATATTCTCTCTTGTTACATAAAACAGAAACTCCATCGTTGTTTTTCTATTTTACTTTCCATGTCGAATATTTATCATACAAGTTAACCTTCTTTACCTGCTATGATATAAACTTTCTCTATTAAATCCTTATTATAGTAGTATTATTTGTGAAAAAATAGAATTAATATATTTAAAATATTTTCATCTTTTAGATGTGATGATTTGACACATTTTTAGATGAATTAATGTTCTTAATAAAGATAATTGCTATTTTTTCAATTAATATACATGCTGAATGGAATATAAAACTAGAGAACTAACCATGATCTAAGTACAACCTTATTGCAAGGCAAACCAGGATGCATTAAGTCAAGGATCAAACAAGGAAAAGCAAACTAAACTCTGGACACCAGAAAAATGAAATAATTTCAACTAGCTTATTGGATCCCAGAATCAAAGTAGAGATGATGGACCAGAAAGGGGAAAGCAATCTAATTTTGAATCTCAGTCTTACACAAAAGGATGAGATAATAACACATTAACAGAACAGTTCATGGGAGAAATCTAATAGTTGTGTTTCCGTATTTTTGGATCAAGTTTTCATATATTCTTTACATTGAGGGCTGATAGAGAACGTACATAATATAAACCACCGTTTCCCATAGAGGCAAACATTGATGAACAAAACCACAACAGAAAATGAAGTTATATTTTTTACGGATACAGAAGTTGCAGTAAAAGATCAATATTCAAAGAAACTCAACAGAAAAAACGTCGAGGACACAAATTATGCAAAAAAAAATAGCATACCATAAGCGAAGAGGCAATTAAAGATGAATGGAGTAATGACAAAAATATATTAACAGTAGTTCCAAATAAAATCAAATTTCATAAAGTAGAGAAACTATCAGTCGGTAGTAATCTCAGTCACAAATGTTCTCCTAACAAAATTATATCTTAGAAACAAAACCAAAACCGCCTCATTTTCCAACACTAAGCCAATACGAATTCTAACAACATTTAGTGATCACCACTCAGTCCCCCTTCCTCCTGAAGGAGCATCCCTCGGTAAGTCTAGCACGTCCTCCCGTAGGCTGACATAATACCGTCTGGCAGTTCCCACACACCACAACGGTTTGCGAGTGGCTGAAGACAGTAGTTCTGCACTCACAATACACCCATAAATTGGACAACAAACAAGCCAACCAATAATAAAATGAAACGAACAAAACGAAGAGAGAAAACGGATGACAAATGACAGAACTCACATGTTGAAACAGCCTTGGCACTTCACGTCCTGCATTAAGAAGATGACCAATTAGAGCGCAGATAGCTCAAATGATTAAAATAAAAGATGAAAGAAATCAACCCGGAAACCAATAGACTGGAGGAACAAAAAAAATTGAAATCTTATATAAACACACGAAAAATGCATAAAAAATAGACATCAATTTCAGGTAAGATACGACTTTAGATATGCATGATTACCATAAAGAATGAATTCGGTGATTGCACAAGACGCTTGAGTTTGTGCCTCCTCTTCTCAAGCTCGGCCGGAGGGTTGAGCAAATCAATATCGTTCGGAAGAACCTAAGACCAGGAAAATCCCTCTTAAAAGGTTAAAACTAACAAAAATCTAAGGTAAAAAAAATAATATAGAAAACTATAAAACAAATTGACAACACAGATGTAGAGAATATAGAACGACCAACGATTTGTAAAAAATAAACGGAACCCAGAACCAAACATACAAGATCTTAACAAACAAAGAAAGGAAACTAAAACAGATCAGATCGAACTCACCATTTTGGCGGAGACCCTAGAAGAACCCGAAACCCTAGATAAGCCTCCGAATGCGCGAGCTGTGGCAGCTAGCAAAATGGGAGAAGAGACCGAAATAAACATGGTACTTATAAGGAAGAGTCAAATAATAGTTAGCCATTGGATGAATAAGTTGTAGATCTTGGCCTTTCGTTCGGTATCTTATGAAAGTTCTAGGGCAGTGGAAGTGGATGCTTTTCCGATCATACTTAAGCTCTATATTTATTACCAATTACATCCCTCCAATGGCGCTAATGCCTAGAGTTCAATCTTAGGGCAGTGGAAGTGGGTGCTTTTCCGGTCATATCTTGAGTTCTATATTTATTACCAATTACATCCCTCCAATGGCGCTATTGCCTAGAGCTCAATCTTAGGGCTACGACTGGGTCCGGGTTGAAGGTCAACCCAGGCCCAACCCTTGTGAAAACTTCATGCTTAGGCCTGGCCTATTCTATCTTATTTTAGGATCCGTTTGGTTCATGGGAATAGGGGTATGGAATCAGAATTGAGATGGGTTATTTCTATTTCTGATTCCAACTGTCTAGTTGGGTGGAATTAGAATCACATTCCCATTCCTGCTGGAATGTCATTCCCCCATTTGAGGGAATGGCTATTCCATGCCCCTCTCTTGGGAATGAAATCTCATTCCTGCTAATTCCATATTTCATTTTCATTCTTGTCTGAACCAAATAAACTATGAGAATGGACCATTCTGATTCTGTAGGATTTCAATTCCAATTCCAATTGTGAACTAAACGAACCCTTAGGCCCCATTTGGTTTGCATAGAATAGAAGTCTGGAATTGGGATCGGTATGGGCTATTCCAATTCCAACTGTTTGGTTGGGCGGAATCAGAATCTCATTCCTATTTCTGCTGGATTTGCATTCCCCCATTTAAGGAAATAGCCATTCCCTGCCCCTCCATTGGAAATGAATCCTGATGATTCCAAATTTCATTCCCATTCGAGTTTAAACCAAATAGACTATAGAAATAGACCATGGTTATGCTTATTGGTACACATTGGTAGCCGTTGTATGTGTTTCTAATTCTAGCATATAGGAGTCTATAATGAGGTCTTGACTTACATACGTTGAGTTGTTGACTTTGCTATCCTTTCAACAAATTGAACAATCAACTTATGTCATAAATGTGGTAACCAATTATGTGTTGTTCATCGAAATTCACGGGTGGGTTTTGATTGGTCAAAACTAATCCAGTGCCATATTTTTCCCGCATCATAAATTTTCCCGATACATTTCTATAGTATATTGGTAATGAACTTTTTGTCCAAAGTTTTAACCCAAAATTGGGAATTTATATATTGAAATCTTTCTCTATCACAATAATCAATATGGGGTGTTTGGTACAGTAGTGTTGTGCAAATGTTGTGTTTTGATCCAATCAATACAAATTTGAAAGAAATATGTGTTATAACATTATACTAGCGGGGACCCGAGTGATGCATGGAAAATCTAAAAGATTTAATAATTTTATTTACTATTGATTAATATTAAATTAATAATCAAAAATTGTTGTTAATTAACTAAAAGTATTCAAAGTTATTGTTAATTGTATAAACCACTGATGTGGTCCCCACCTCTTTCTATTGCACTCGTATACAACTACTAGTTATTTAAGTGTCAGTCCACAATTATTTGTTAGTCTTTTATTAGGACTTTAATTGTTGTCTTTTATTAGGATTTTAATTTTGCCATGTAAGCAGTCTTATGCTTACTTCATAATTAATATAAATAGAAAGAGGGGAGCGACAGATTAAGCATCCTCTTCTTTTATGAAATCCTTCCTTCGAAAATTTATTCTATTATTTTCTCTTTCTCCTCTCATTCTCTCTTCTCATCCTCTTAATTTCTCGTTGATTATACACCATAGCTTGGGCTGTCAGTAGTCTCATATGACTACATGGTATCAGAGCCAATCTAGGAAATCTTATGATAGTCTGACATAGCCGGCTGCATAAGAATTTCCTAGGGTTGGAAAATTTCCAATAAAAAAGGATCATCGGCTGAGTCTTGGAGATTGTTGGTGAAGCATCAGAGGATGACCAGCAATCAGGAAGAGTCAGAAGGAAGAACACTAAAGATTAGGGTTTAGACTTGTTTTTGAAGGTTGCGGCCAGAAAGTCAGAAGGAAGAACCTTCAAGATTAGGGTTCAGACTTATCTTTGAAGGTTGCGGCCAGAGTTTTGTTAAAGTAAGTCAATCTTTTCTATTAAAATGATTACCTTTTCTGGTTATTTCAACGGTTAAGCTAAAAGTTTTTTCCTCCCGAACTGTTCTTAATTGTTCTTAATACATTAAAAGAATAGTTTTTTTGGCTACTTTAAGAGTTGTGGCTGAACTGGTTGTGTTATTGGCTTGTTTCTTGACCTTTGACTAGTTCTAGGGTCAAGATTCTAGTTTCTTTACTATCGCCAATTCTAGGGTTGCAGTTAGTTTTAGTTTTGCACTCTCAGCCCTGCACTCTAAGTTGTACTTGGAAGGTTATCTTTTTTGGGTGGACTGCCGACCTAGAAGGATAAAGTAGGTTCAGTTGATAGAAAATTGAGGGTGTAACTACCCAGTCTTAGTGATACAAAAGGCATTTGTTAATCTTTTCTTGATAAAGAATGGAGTTTAAGAGCCAAGGGGAAAACTATTTAGGGGCTAGTGGTGCTAATAGCATACCTGAGAACAATTTTCAGATTACCACTGTAAAATTTGATGGGTCAAACTACCTAGAGTGGTTCCAATCAGCCATGATGGCTATTGGGGGTAGAGGAAAGCTAAGTTATTTACTGGGAGATGTCAAGGAACCAGCCAAGGATGACCAAATATATACCAAATGGGTTCGGGATAACTATTTTGTTATGACATGGCTGTGCAACTCCATGCAACCACATATCAGCCGAAATTATTTATGGGCAAAAACAACTAAAGAAATTAGGGATATCATGAAAGAAACCTACTCCCAAGCCCTCAATGTTGCTAGGGCCTATGAGCTAAAATGTAAGGTGAATAACCTTAAGCAAGGAGAGAAGCCAATCTCGGTTTATTTTTCCACATTGAAATCCTTGTGGCATGAAATTGATCACTTAGAAATAATTGAGTGGAAAAGCCAGAAGGATGCACAGACCTACAGAAAGCAGGTTAAAATCAATAAGGTATTTGAGTTTCTAGCTATTCTGAATTTTGAGTATGACATTTTGAGACAACAACTTCTAACAAGAGACATTGTGATTCTATCACAAGCTTACTCTTTAGTGCACAGTGAAGGAAGTATAAGAAAAATTATGTTACAACATTTGTCACTTGAATCAGCCTTGGCAGCAACTAAACCCAAGTTTGGGGGGATATGGAGAGAGATATGAAGAAGGAAGACAAGAAGGACCTAATATGTGAATATTGCAAAAAACCCAAGCATACCAAAAAAACATGCTGGAAGCTACATCCTCATCTAGTTCCCGCAAAACTTAAGAACAAAAAGGGGAGTGCTAATACAATTGTTACTACTGATTATGCAACCTCATCAGGCACAAGAGCAGTACCACTAGACACTCTAGCTGCTATCCGAGCTGCCTTGACTCAGTTGGAAAAAGAGGTTGGTAATTCAGCATCATCATCTCAGCCAGTCACAACATCAGCTCCTCCCACCTCAGCATTTGCTCATTCAGATACACGGGCCTTAGCTTATTATGCTTCAGCTCTAGGTAACACTGAATATTGTTGAGTAATAGACTCAGGTGCATCTGACCATATGACTAATTTGCCTTCACTATTTGCTACCTATCACTTATCCTCTAGTAGAGACAAGGTGTTTATTGCTGATAGATCACTTGTTCCCATTTTTGGCAAGGGAAACACCAAGTTGTCTAGTGCCATTTCCCTGTCTTCTGTTCTGCATGTTCCTAAACTTAGCACCAATTTACTTTCAGTTACCATGCATTACTAAAACCATAATTGCTCAGTAACCTTTTTTCCTAATCAATGTGTTTTTCGGGACTTGGAGACAAGAAAGGTGATTGGGACTGGCCGTGAGACAATTGGAATCTATCTGCTTGGAAGAAGTTCACAGTGGGACGGTAGTGAAGTTAGAGGGTCTTTTGTTTCTCAGTCTATTGGTCAAGTCATGCTTTGGCATAACCGATTGGGTCATTTATCCTTTAGGTCTTTGAAAAACTTGTTTCCTAGTTTATTTGAATCTATCTAGATGTCCAGTTTAAAGTGTGAAAGTTGTGACTTTGCAAAGCATTGTAGAACAACATATTCATTAAGTAATAAGAGAAATAGTGTTCATTTTGACATTGTGCATACCGATGTTTGGGGACCATATCACATCACTGTTATGGGGGGGTACAGATCCTTCTTGCTGTTTGTTGATGACTATACCCGGTTTTCTTGGGTCTACTTGATGCGTTCTCGAGATGAGGTCCCTACCCTAACCCAAACCTTTCATCAGATGATTTTAACCCAGTTTGGGGTAAAAATCAAAATTTCCAGATCTGATAATGTGAGAGAATACTTTAAAACATTACTAGCCTCTTATTTTCTTAACCATGGGATTATCCATCAGAGTACCTACCCTCATACCCCTCGGCAGAATGGGGTGGCTGAGAGAAAGAATATGCACATATTGGAAGTAGCTAGAAGTATCATATTCAACTCCAATGTGCCTATACATTTATAGGGTGATGCCATTCTCACAGCTGTGTATCACATCAACCGAATTCCTTCACAAGTTCTTGACAACAAACCCCCATTCACACTTTTATATCCTGATAAAGAGTTGTTTTCTGTCCCTCTTTAAATCTTTGGTTGTACCTGCTTCGTGCAAACTCTTGGCCTTCACTGTTCCAAATTTGACCCTATAACCTCAAAATGTATTTTCCTTGGTTATGCACAAACTCAAAAAGGATACTCTTGCAACAAACTTGTTTCAGGAAGGAGATTTGTATCCATAGATGTTACTTTATTTGAGGATGTACTTTATTACTTTAAGGTTTCTTCTCAGGAGGAGAATAGTACGATTGGGGTTAACACATTAGAAGCCCCTTTACCTGTTCCATTGAGTGAAGAGGGGTGTAATGGGAAGGGTTGTCAAA